AAATTTCAATATTAGTCTGTTACAATCGAGTAACTTTTCCAAATTAAATACCCCCACTATAGTTGAATCAAATGACTTAAATGTTCTTGCAAAAATTAGTCAAGATATAAATTCATCAGAGTTCCAAGATAACGATACTAATGAAATGTTCCATTTGAAATTCATAACCTTACACAATATTCTCACTTTTTGCTGATTATCATTTTCATACTCGGTGTTTTGTTGTATGTTTTCATTCCGAAAGCAAAACGATACTTTAGAAATACTACATTGAAGAAAGATGCGACAAATCGTGAACATGTTGAAAATCTGGATAATATGCAAGTTGAAGTCGAAGAAAGCCAGGGGCGTGCGGAAAATTGCACTTCACACCCTCTACGAGGTTAGCATGAATATGTATTCAAATATCATATTCTATAATTTTCCAAGTTGCTCATTCGAGAAACTTATTTAATATTCATCAAATACACTTGTTACGGAAGATAACATGATGTCATATAATGTTAGGTATAACATCAACACAAAATTCTATTCAGAACATCGTATTGTGAGGTGAATTTATTATTGATTAGTACAATTGTATTCTTTATTTTGATTGGTCAAAATTGATGTCATGAGAGCGTCGTTTCTGTGACAAAAGCGTCGCGTATAAAACTAAGAAAGCCAGCAAAATGCGGAGATTTTGCCACGAGACTTGTAACACTTAACATCTATATGTTTCAACATCTGTACACAATCTTTATCCATCGCAATCAACATCAACTGCTCTATAGTTAATAAGACCAGCTAACCGGACCCTGAGTATCATTCAGCTCACCCTATCCAACCCGCAACACAACAAGAGTGAAATCAAAAAGGTGTATGGGGCACTGGCTGATCCTGTAACGTTACGAAAGACAATGGAGCGAAGGCGATGGAGAAAAGGAGAGGCTCTCTCAACTTATTATCATGAGAAGGTATTACTAGGAAATAATGCAGGGGTAGCTGAATTAGAGATGTTACATTATTTCATAGAGGGGCTTGATGACCAATACCTACAAAATCAGGCTAGGATGATGTTAGGAACCCTCAATAGTTTAGAAGATTCATACTAATAGTGTTATCAAGGAAGATCTGGTCCAAAGTAGATCCACTTATAATCCACGAGTCACAGGAATGTCCAATCGAAGCAGTCATTCACATGGGGCAGGTCAATCAGGAGTTCCTCCAAGACCTACTATAAAATGTTTCAACTGTGGACAAGAGGAACATAATATAACTGAATGCAGAAGACCACGAAGACAGGAGGGATCTTGTTATGAATGTGGAAGCATGGAGCATCTGCGTCAGAGTTGTCCAAGGGTGAGGAGGATTGAAGCTCCTCAAGCACCAGATTCAATCACAAGAGCTACAAGAGGTAGTATGACTTTGGTAGAGGCTGATACAACAAAACACCAAGTAATAGATCCATATACTGTTTTAGTCAGACTGTTAAATTATGATATCCACATTTTTGATATTATAGATATTATCTCTCCGATTAGGGAGGATTCAGTAAATGTTGATGATATATGTAACTATAAGAATAATCAGATATATTCAGGTATTAATAAGTCACCATTATCAATAATAGGAATTTTCAATGATACAATTAGGGATAAATGATGATTTCAATATTGAACCATCATTTCATGTAGTTCCCAAGGATACAATAGCCTTCAATTTATTGCTAAGTAGAGATTTATAGCTAATGAACAAATCAAAGAAATATGTTTTCATGAAGGTCAACTTAGAATTATAAGCCTGATATTCAGGATAGTGACATTCCATTTTCACAAATTTTATTAATCCAAGAAGAACAATCACAGGATTTATTGGATATTGGTTCCTCACTGACTCCCGAAGTTGTTTCTGAAACCAAAGAAATATCTCAAAATTATTATAAAAACGTAGAAAGGCCTGAACATTTAAAAGTTGATTTTAAGATGCATATTCTTTTAACACAACATGAACCTTTCAATACTAGGCCACGTAGGTATCTTTTGCAGAAAAGCAAGCTTTAGAGGATATTTTGAAGGAACTTTTAGATAAAAACATTATACAGGAAAGTGACTCACCTTATTGTTCAGCAGTTGTTTTGACCAAAAAGAAGTCAGGTGATTATCGTATGTGTGTTGACTTCCGAACTCTTAATAAGTACTTGGTTAGAGATCAATTTCCGCTTCCGTTGATTGATGACCATTTAGATCAACGCATTTTATCATGTTGCATTTGATTAGGAATCTATGAAGTACACATCTTTCATCACTCCTTCAGGACAGTATGAATTTCGAAAAATGCCTTTTGAACTTAGTTCTAGCCCATCCACATTTTCCATATTTGTTAACAAAATATTTAAGAATCAAATTAGTCAGGGGAAATTATTATTATATTTTGATGACATTTTAATTGCAACCAAGACAGTTCAAGAAAATTTTGAAATTTCAAAGGAAGTCTTTGAGCTTATGGTAGATAACTTACTCGAATTAAGATTAGATAAATGTTCGTTTTTGAAGAATGAAATAGATTTTTTAGGATAAAGCATAGATGAACGAGGGGTGGGACCCAATGGGGAAAATATTCAGTCTATTCAAAACTATCCAGTTCCAACTGATGCTGAGCAAGTACATAGGTTTTTAGGATTAGCTAGCTATTTTAGGAGGTTCATCCAGAATTTTTCGTTAATTGCAAAACCTTTATTCGATCTCCTGAAGAAAAACGTGAAGTTTGAATTCAAAGAAAAGCATTTGAGAACGTTTGAAATTTTGAAAGATAAATTAATCTCTAAACCTATTTTGTCAATTCATTCACCTTCTAGTGAGACAGAATTACATTGTGATGCGAGCGCACTAGGGTTTGGGTCTATTTTACTTCAGAAACAGGTAGATGATGAATTCCATCCAGTTTTCTTTGTTATGAGCTTGAGTGCCTAGCAATTGTTTATTGTCTAAAACGATTTCATGTTCACCTACAAGGAATTCCATTCAAGATAGTAATAATAGTATGCGACAGTTTCCGGTTGACATTGGCAAAAAAAGATATTATTCCAAGAATAATGAGATGGTGTCTTACTTTGCAAGACTATACCTATACTATTGAGCATCGTTCAAATAAAAATATGGGACATGTGAAGCAGAGTGAATGGTATATTAGTATCAGAGGGAAATACAATCGAACGAACATAAGCTTTGAAACAAAATACTGACAGTGAAATTGTTCGTATTAGAAATTTGTTAGAAGAATCAGAACATCCATTTTTGGAATTAAGAAATGGTTTCGTTTACAGGCAGCAAAAAGGTACAATACTATTTTCTGTACCACAAGAAATGGTTTACACAATGATTCACACATACCATAATGATATGGGACACTTTGGTCTTGATGAGACATATGAGCTCATTCATCGAACTTATTGGTTTCCTGAAATGAAAAAGAAAATGAGGTTACACATTGATAACTGTTTGAAATGCATTGAATTCAACTCTAAGTCAGGAAAAGTTGAGGGATTTTTACATAGTATACCTAAAGGAAAATTACCTTTCGAAACTTTACATATCGACCATTATGGTCCATTATAAAAGACAGGTAATAGGAATTAACATATTTTTGAAGTGATGGATGGTTTCACCAAATTCATCAAATTTTATACCCATGTAAAAGTACAGACACGAAAAAAGTTATATCATTTTTGAAAGTTTATTTTGTCAACTATAGTAGACATACAACTATTATTTCTGATAGAGGTTCTTGTTTTACTTCGCAAAATTTTAAAGATTTCATGAAGGAAAATAATATTAAACATATTCTGATAGCCACAGCAGCCCCAAGGGCTAATGGTCAAATAGAACGTATGAACAGGTTATCAACACCTATACTTAGTAAAATGGTAGATGAAAAGCATATGAATTGGGACATTGAATTTTGTATTAATAATTCAGTCAATAGATCAACAGGGGAAACGCCCCCAAAGTTATTGTTTGGAAGAAATCAGTTAGGACATATTCATGATCATGGAAGAGAAATGTTAGATATTATAAATGGAGAGGAAAGTGAAACTTTGGAGGATATAAGGCTCAAGGCTTCTGAAAATATTGATAAGGTACAGAAAGAAAATAAGAAGTATTATGATGCAGAGCATAAAGAAGCGCAAACCTATAAAGTTGGACAATATGTCATGATCTCTAATTATGATACAACAGTGGGAGTGAGCAAGAAACTAATTCCCCAATATCGAGGACCTTATGTTATAAAACAAATTCTCAAAAACCTTTTTTTATATGATATGAAACATTTGAAGATTTAATTTTTTTTATTTTGCAATTGCATTACCTCGTTGGTCACAGCACTGGGACCAAACGCCCCATGAGTCGAAACTTGTGCGAGGTTAGATAAGCAGATAAACACAAACATCCATGGCCTGACTAGGATTCGATCCTATGTCTCGGTGGGAGTCCCCATACGAACTCAGCGCCTTCACGCTCTCGACCACCGAGCCGCAAATATGCATACACCTCCACGTTTGAATTCTTTTCTACAATATTTGTTCATCAACAGACAGTTCATCAATCTCATTAGTTGTTAACCAGTGTTCTGTGAGACAACATATATCGATTTCGAATTTTTCAAGAAGTAGATCTAATTGAGTTATGGTAACAAGTGTGTTCTCATTCCTCACATCTGAGGCGGCATATGTTATTGGGTTGTATGGAGTTTCTGTTGACTTGTCCTCCCTGAAAAAGAATCAGGTCTATCCAATCCAGAATTGTTATTTATGGCATATCTTGTTTTATGCTTCTTATTATGCAAATTGAAGTCAAATCTGCTATAAAATACATCTTTTGGCCAAAACGTGGGATTAAAGAATTCCTCCTCATGTTTGAAATCTGCTGCAACCATATATGATTTTAAGTCTCCAGGTTCATTCACGTATTTCACAATGAAGGTATCATCATCTTGTCCTGTCTTTCACTTCAGAAATGTCTTTATTTCCTCCTCGGTGACATCTGGAGAGATCTTGTTAGATATAGCCACACTTTGGGTGGTACTTCCTTGAAGTTTTCTTTTTCCTTCTCCAGTATGTCAAAATTCCCTTCGTTTTTTTTTCTTGAAACTGTCATCCGCTCTCTATCTTCAGATTCATTTTCATTATTCTGGCAACCCAGCTCAATATACTTGAACATTTGGTTAGTTTCGGCTTTGTGTATTGCATATGATATCTGCTTATCAGATATTCCTGAGGTATCTGTAGTTTTGAGAGCATATTTGCAACCCCTCCAGCTTTGTATGCATTCGCGCTGATCCCAGTGGACGCCTGCTGTATTCGTTTGTTTTTTGTGGTGTATGTTTTTGTGACTGCTGGTATCGCTTTCTCGATACTGGGATGGTTTTTGTCGTTCATCGGGTTCTTGTATTCTATCAGAGACACTTTTTTCATCCTGGATGCATTCAATAGGTCAATATGATTATTCAGAATCTTTATTTGTTGTCTCAATTCCGTGATTATGATATCTTTCTGTTTCAGAATGTAACTAAAGATGTTCATGTCCATTTTCTACTCAACATTCATATTCTCCACGGCATCGTAGAATGCCGATTCATGGTCATCATTATTTGTTGGTATGTCCACTGTGCATATTTCACGTAGAAACTTAAAATCACCTTTTGAAAGACCGTCAATTTCAGATTCAGTAAGACCACTGTACTCACGGTGATACCACTGCTTGCAGGGGCTATCACATCCTATTTTCACACTTGTTTTTCCAATGTTTTTTGTACATTTTGCACAGATCATCTTACTGGACACGACGACGATACCTATCTACTGACATTCAATCAAAACGAATATGTTTCTGTTTCAATTGAATATCAATTGATAGTGAATGGAAAGTTAGGATAGGAACATAGAAGCCGTTTTGACTATGCAATAATAAATAGTTTCAACACAAAAAATTTCAGAAGTTGAAACATCTCAATCTTTCACACCTATATCTCAGTTATCAGTCTTGCTAGACCCCGAATATTGTGAATCGATGAAATCAGATCTTCAGGAAAAATCCAAGAATGTTATGAAATGCAGGGTGTTCCATTTGATAAATCGAAGTTGCTGCTACTTTTTAGTAAAAGCGGCAACGCCGGATCGTTTCAAATATTTCAGACGTGTAGATCATGTTTATTTATACAAACCAGATCAGATTTATCCGTTGCCTGGTTTGCAGAAAACGTCTAATGAACGCTCATCGTGGAAAGCCCTAAATAGTCTTGATGACGGGCCTGCCACTACATTCTCTAATAGTCTGGATGGATACAAAGACCGATATGAAACACTCCTCCCAAACGTAACACTCGCGTAGACTGTATAGGAAGTGTTAAAATTGATAAATCTTCGTCTGATTTCACTTTATACCCCGAAGGGTAAAAAATATTATTTTGAGCACATAATATGAGTAGTTAAAATCGTTTGTGCATGAATGAAAAGAACATCGTTGAATACACATCTTGATGCTTTCCTCAGATATGGCCAAAAAACACAGGATAGATCGAGTAAGTGTGCCAATTTTAAAAAAATTACAGGTTGGTTGGAAAGTTATGAGACACTGAAGATATGGGCGAAATTGATGAAACATCCCGAAGACCCATTAACCATGAGTTTTTTGGAATCATTCCAGTGACCACTCCCCACAGTTGAATTATTTACCTTTCCCAATGAAACACCCTGTATATCTGATATCCATTTGGTTTCAAATATCGATTTTCTTCCTGACTTTTGCGAATAATTTTTGTTGAAAAGGAATATTCTCAGATAAATCATACAAAAATGGATATATATTTATATAAAGTAATACATTGAGAATTCGCATTCTCTATGTGATGAGAATATTCACTCTTTTTCAGTTGATTCAATAGAAAATAACTACTTTCCTGGCTATATGCCACGACGAACATTGAATTATATATATTGAACACACACGATAGGAGTTTGAAAATAAAATATGACGAAAAAAAAAATGCAAATTCTCAATTTCAGAAGTTTTTTTTTGTCATATTTTATTTTCAAACTCTCATCGTGTGTGTTCAATAGATATAATTCAATGTTCGTCGTGGCATATAGCCAGGAAAGTAGTTGTTTTCTATTGAATCAACTGAAAAAGAGTAAATATTCTCATCACATAGAGAATGCGATTTCTCAATGTATTACTTTATATAAATATATATCCATTTTTGTATGTTCATAATTTATCTGAGAATATTCCTTTTCAACACTTTCATACCCAATCAGGGGGTTCAAACTTGAACGATGGAAACTTGTGATTTTTTATAAACCTCTAATCGCAGATTCGTGATAGAGTCTCAATTCAGAATTTCTTCCCACGCCCTGTAATGATGAATGTCAATTCATCATACACCCAAGAGCAATAATTTTTGATTCAATAAATCTGGTGAAGAATCATGCAATACACGAATGGTTGAATTGTTACTATTTTCAATTTATTCTGATCGTGAATCTGTAATTCGCATGAGGAGAATAAAAAATATCCAATTGAAATTTGAACACACTGAAATGGTCTGCTGCTATCGACATTTATTTTTTTGATGTCATCAACTACAGATTTGATTGATATCAGGACAAATGGCCCCTCAAACTTATAGAAAATAATTTTTTTCATGACCTTCAGAAGTTTTGCGCCATGTAGATAGATAAAAAACATTTATTCAATAACGTTATACTAATATGTACATTCAAAGCAGGACAAAACTCCAAAATTTGAATGGTATGCCTAATAGTACAATAATTATGTTCAGTATAATCATATGTATACACATAATCAATAATCAAATAAATATGAAACAAATTGACAACACTATGATTTAAGGAAATAAGTTAGGTACTATAAAACTTTCATGGATTGAGTGAGCTAATCATGTTACTCAACAGCGTTTTACAAGGTTTCTCAACGGCAACTTGACCCCCTCCTGCTATATTGAGAAAACCGAATCCTCTACTGGAATTCATTAAGACCCGTCAATTTTTATAATCTGGGAGCATTTTTGACCATCAAACCAATTCGATACGTTCATCCCCCTAACCCCTAGCAACTTCAACTTCGAAATTTCAAATGGAATAATCCTACTTCCGATTTCCAATACATCAATTCAACGCCTTTTTCTTTGCGAAAACTCCGGTGCATCGTGTTTGAAAATCTGTTGAGATTTGACGAAGTTTTTCAATGATATCAATACTCGACAGTAATTGATAAACTAACATTCGCGTCATAATTCCTGACCAAACTAAACATAAATTTAGTTTTCCTCCAATAAACAATCACATCTTTATATATTGAAGGCTATTTTCCTATGACATTTCTCTATGCAAAAAATTTGATAAATAATTGGATGTTTTTAACGTGATGGTGCACCTTCGCATTGAGCTGTTGCTGTGAGCCAATTTTCAGATGATCATTTCCCAGGTCATTGAATTGGTAGAAGAAGTCCTATCAAATGGCCACCAATATCAGCTGATCTAACCCCTTTGGACTTTTTTATGGGGTCAATTGAAATTGTGAGTGCATGCCACGCAATCTGAAACACTAGACGTGCTGCGTCAGAGAATTATGAAAGAATGCCGATTGATAACACCAGATGTCTTCAATAATGTTCGAAGAGAATCTGGAAATAAAATGTATCATTGTTGCAAGCAAATGGAGGTCATTGCATCTTCTTTTGAATTTTAGTCTAATATTTGATGAATTGATCGAGACAACAAAAAAGAGGAATCTGTAAATATTACTTGAGTGAATGAAAATCTTTCAATAAGGGTTAGAAACTATAACGCGAATGTCGGTTTGTCAATTATATCCTCAACTATCGATTTTATTCAACACCTTTGTCAAATGTCAATTGATTTCCAAACACGATGAACCAGAGAAAGTGCTTCAAAATATTGTGTTGGAATTAGGGCAGTTCTATTTGAAATTTCGAAGTTAAAGTTGCTGGGGGTAAGACGGATGAAGACATCTAGGTGGTATAACTGTCGAAAATGCTTCCTTGAATATAAGAATCGATTGGTCTCGGCGATTTATGGTAGACAATTTCGTTTCCTACTTATGGAAGGGGTCATGTTTCGTTGGAGGACCCTGTATGTTGTAACATTCGACTAATATTCATTTTCCAATGAGCTTTTGGAATCGTTGAGTGAGATCCTGCACTGTTCAAGGTTTGATCTTCTACATTATCACAGGAAATTTTAAAATTTAATTTTGTTGAATTATGCAATTTTTTTATCCATGAATGTTGAAGGTGTTGTTGACATTCATCAAGGTGTATTCCGAGTTACGAAATGTAAAAATTGAGCAAGTCTTCATTACCCTGTTCCTAAGTTTTTTTCAGGTTACTCTGAAACGATAACCACAAAATATCTCTCCAGGAAAATCATAGGGATGATCAGTAAAACCAAACCTTCATTTTCGTCAACATCTGCTTGCCCTACCAATTTCTCCTGAATATCACCGATTCGACATACAATTTTGAGAGACTATTCAATCTCATAGCGTGCCAGGCAACAAGGTTGCCTAATAAACGATGAAAAATAATTGTCTCTGTTGTTAATTTTTGTTTGTTAGTATTTTTGATAATGACATGTTTCTTGTTCTACGAATTTCTGATGAAACATTCCCATGCGCATATTGATTCAATATTTTTAGAAATTATTCTGGCGTTGAACACGTTTGAAGATCATAACGTGTCATGTCTAAAGAACTAACGCACTCGTTTTGAAAGTGCTATCCTCAACACTTGATTTGTCTTAGTAATCCGTAATCCACTACCCCCACAATCACTTATTATAATCGAGATCATGTTCAACTGCTCTCCTTCTTGCTATTCATTGGGCGTAAGGCTTCATCATCATATACAACTGATTTATTTTTCCGCCTTTCTATCAGGGGAATGCAGAACGCAGTGACGGTGGCAGCACCAAAGAAAACGCTGGCTACAAGGAACGACGCGGTATATGAGTGAGTGGAGTCGTACAGCATTCCTGCTAGAGGAGATCCGATGAATGCTGCAGTTCCTCGGAAGAGGAGCAAAAGGCCGAAAGAGCTGGTGAGGCTTTCCAATCCTAGATACTCCACGAGTAAAATCGATGCTAAGGAGATGTATCCAGCTGAAAATAAATTGATTATATTTTTATGTAGAAAATATCATTATAGAATAGAAAAATAAATTCCAATTCATATTCATCAAATTATCTCCTAATTATCAATCAAAATCCAATATCCACATTCTACATATTCCCACTCACAATCAAGGCTTCTATTGCTTATCATTTTCTAATGATGCCAAGAACTCATAATCTCCAAAAGTTGAAAAAATACCAATACCTACCTCCTCTTCTTGTCCTCCTTGGGTAGGCACGATGTTCTTTGAATATCATACGGATTCCTTCTATCTACGCTCCAAGAGATGGAAAGAGGCTCAAGGAATAATAATTAGTATCAAATTTATAATTATCTTGATTTCGATGATGACACACCAAATTATTGCTCCAAGTGATGTATCGTCTTGAAAGTGCCATATACGAGAAATCTAAGAGCATCATTTGATTCATCGTGTTTGAAGAGCCGATAATATATTACAATGCGAAGTTCGATGGAGACATTCAAGTTGGTGACGTATCCTTCAGGCAAACAATAGTTTCAAGATTATGACAATCGAACAAGACAAAATCTATTCAATTTGAAATATCGCAAAAATTTCAACAATTCATACTCTTCCACTCCTAATGATTAGCTGAAGATCAACGAGAACAGATTCCCATAAAGTCTTGTATAAAGTCTCGTTCACAGCCTCCACTCTCCTCTCTTCTCGCTTCTCGTACGGGAGTCTCGTGAAATTATCAAAATCTCGTCATGCCAAATCTTATTGTTTCAGTGCAATAAGAAATACTCGAATACTCATAATGTGGAGCTTTCAATATTTGTGGCAGTAGAGAAGGGCTCAAAGACGGCAACGACGCGTTTTGGATATACAAAGCAAAGCAAGGATGACCGTCAACCAATAACGCTGATAGCGGCTTTGAAAAGCAATTCTTGGTAGGTATTATATTATGATTTTCCTGAACACTCCTTCATCAAAATAAATCAATGTAGAAGATACGATATGTAACTGTTCAATACTTCCATCAAGCTCATTTCGAAAATAACATAAACATGTGATCATTCACGAAGTGTTTTTCGATTCATATTTCAATCTCGTTTTCAAGTTCGCACATAAAGAACATACAAGGACACAAGACCTCATGCACAAGACTCGAGACGAGAATAATAAAAGTCTCGTCTCGTCTTGTCTAAGTATTGTCTTGAGTCCCGTCTTGAAAACAAGATGAGTGTTCCGTCTTCCTCAAGTTTATGTTTTTTTTTCTTTATGCTTGTCTATTTATTATCTAATTTGTTTTTCTTTTCTCGCTTCATATTTTTTGCCTTCACATTAAATTTATATGTATCGCGAGACCGGCTGTGTTTCATATTCTTCAAAATATATGGAGCGTACCTCGTATAGTAGGAATGACATTTTATTCGCTGAAAATTGGATCGAAGAATCGAAGATATTCGCTCGAAAGACTCGCTCGATATAACGTCTCGACTAGACAGAAAGATTTCTCGTGATAGCTGGCCAGCTCGGAAAGTGACAAGTTTCGCTGTAATCTAAGCAGTTCTAAACTTCAACCAGTGAAGCCGCCTACTCTGTCCTCTGGGACCCAAAGTATGAAATCACAGCCTCGTTTTCTTTGAAGTTCTAGCTCAGTTAGCTCTACCAGATGGTCTAATAACATTGCGATTATCAACAATTTATAAATACCGACCTACCTATACAGTCCACTTCATCATTGATCTACAATGAGGATATGCGAGATTCTCGAAAACGAGACTCTCGTGCGAACCACTATTCACTACTTCATGTTACAGTGAGAACGACAGCAATTTCAAATAAAACACACTGTGATTGTGCAATGATATTCTCCTGAGCGAGGCTGAGATATCAATAATCAGGCAAGATTACATCGATCTCACTGCATCGAGTGTTCCGATTGTTCCCGAAATTCCAAACTGTTCAAGAATGTTTCCCGAACACCAATATATCACTGTGATGAAAAGTTCCCAATGTTTCGAAAGAGAGAGAGAGATAGACGAAATGTTCTAACAATAGGAGGGTATGGACACTAATGAGATATTCGAAAACCTAGGACGAATAATAAGGATGAGCGGCTCCCATAGCGGCAGTCAGTCAGACATTGCGACATTCATGTGCGACGTGATTTTAACCATTATGAATAGAAAAACAAGGAAAGTAGCAACAAATAAGTGTTTATCATCATTGAATGAATAAGTTCATGAATAAGAAGTGTCTTTCACTTCCGCACACGATCAACGTATCGATATTTCTTGTTTCTGGAAAAATGAGAATCTACATGGTCTGGTCTGTTTGGAGAATGAATTGTCTTCTGGTCATAAAAAGAAGTGTGGAGAATTGTTTGTACTTTTTCGGATGATGTTTCAAATTATGCTAGAATGAACATTTGCGAGATGACTCGTATTCTATTTATCCAACTGAAGAAACCCCAATCTCGGGTGATAGAAGGTAAGCAAAATGTCTCTATACTCACCCATTGCAGATCCATATGCTATAGACATGCAGGTGTAAGCGGTGAATGTATGGCAAAATGGTCCTGCTGCTACTGCTAAGCCCATTACAATGAGACAAACGTTGTTCAACAATAGAGTGTTCACTTGTGGCAAATCTGCTATGAATCCACACACAATACGGCCTAGTGTATTTGTGAAACCGATGATGGAGATGAATAGAGAAGCACTCTCTTTATCTATTCCCTGGAAACGAAAGTAGTTCACGTGAAGAGTCATAGAAGATCATTTCCACAGTTTACATAACAAAATTGAATGCTAACAACTGTAAGGCCTCTGGAGAAAAGGCATAGATGAGTTACGTACTACAATTTGTAGGAAACCGCAATACTTCATCGCTTTCAGTCGATTAAATTATTCGAACATCATTTTTTGATGTGGTCTGTTATATTGAAAAATCATCATCTAACGAGTTAAATTATGTTACATGTAATAGGATGAATGACCAATCCTATTTCATGTTTAATAAGGGGTGTTTGGAATGCATAGTGACAGACATTCTAGTAATCAATTGCCTTCTTGATTATTCCAAATGTTTTGGGATTTTCTCTCCTCGTTTCTATAAAACAAAAATATGAATATTATTTCAATATACGTGTAGTAAGGACTAATCAGCTGATTTGCCCCAAGATGTCACTGCGTTTGGAGAATTCTCCTATCAGAGAGCCTAAAAGAAAAATTCACTAGCTTGTCAGTGACAATATGTATTGAAAAATTTTTGGAGAAGATAAATAAAGGTATATAGAAAAAATATCAAATTTTCACTTATCTTTGGACGTTTCGGAACCGATTCTGCTCCCGTTCCCAACATGAAAAGAGATTTTTTCAATTGCGAAGTCGTATAATATGTCTTGAAGCTTTTCAGTTCTCAATGACAATTGGTGATGTTGGCAATCAAATGAGTTATAGGATGTTTTCATTAATTAATCTTGAATTTACCATTTTCATGTTCAGATTGTAGTAGTGAATACCATGTTCTGTCTATATCAACTGAACAAGAAGCAATGCTATTGTCTCCGTTCAGAAGAATGCAAGCAGATTCCTTGATTTTTCTCTTCTGGTTGTTATCTTCTTTTCCAATGATTTTAATATCATTCCACTCTGCCATTTGTTGTCCGTCTTCAGTAAGGATATGTTCAGCTAGTTTCGATTTATCGATGTTTCTTTTCTTTATATCACCTCCTCGATTAACCTACAGACAGCCTTCTTGATTGTTGATAAAATATATATAATAATATATACAATCAGTCATGACTTCGGAAAGTACCTCAAACCACTAATTATCATGAATTCACCGTGCGTCTTGATAGCAACAGAGTGTTGACAAGCCACACGGTGCGTTATCCTCGTTCAACCCATAATACCTAATAATCTTGACAATATGATCCCAATCTATACTAACTTGCATACTACGATCCCATATGGTGACAACATAATATGAACTCATTCGAATACGTTTGTTTCTAGATTCCAATATCGTAACAAATTCTGCTGAAGAGGAAGAAATAAGAACCACATCAGACCGTAGGTGAAAATTTGTTATCTCAGATGTGGAAGATTCATCCACATAGGAATACTGTAGTATATGCTGTTTCACTCCAGCAATTGAATGATGCAACAAGTTGACAACTCAAACCTATAAGGTATTGAACACGTGGTTTTCGCTTCGAATTATATTTTATCAAAATCATTTCTATTTCATCACCTTCTAGAGCGAGTGTGAGTTGATGTTTTTTCCTTTTACACCTGCCTAATGAGTGTTGCGAGTGCATGTATAGAAGAACTAGGCAATTCATTTCATTTCACTGTCTGAGTGGTACAAACCTATCACATTTACAAACATTTACATGTAACAGTGTTAAATAAAGCCTATCTATCAGATATATGTATTATCTGAACATTTGTTTGAATGAATTTCTTCATTTCATGAAATTCGGATCTCCCAAGTGAGATATTGGATACGCAATGATTACTAGTTTCAATGATGTATCGGAATCAGTATGATGATTCGTTGAATAAATGCTATCATTAATATAACAAAATGGACAATTGTAATGGTCGAGGTTATTCAGATTTCAAATACCTAACTACTGTCTGTCGCTCAACCGAGGAAGTGGAATCATTCCTCTAGATATTTGAATTTCTTCATCGGAGTATCACTGAATGATACTCTTCCAAATTACTGAATGTGAAATTCCCATCGCAGAGACATTCTGAGACAAATCAACTAATACAAACACGACATATTGAGGTCAACTGTTTATCTGATTTTTTTGAATAACACAGAAGCTCATCAAGTTATTTGAACGTGCTATATCATTATATTCATGCTCAAAAGTCCACTCTAACGATAGCTCGTAGAGTTCAGACCTTTTTCAAGGTATCCATACCTGATATCGAATGATATATGAGGAAAATTTAAATCAAAATTCCTGACAGAATGAAGACTTCGGGTACGGAAACACTTCAACCTCTACTATGACCTATGACTGTGCCAGGCCAAAGTTTTTTGAGCAGCTCGCACGGGCCAACAACAATCACTTTATGAGAAGGTGATAACTTTTGTAAGAGGTTGACTCACTTTATGAAGAGATATTTTCATCTTAACCACATTCAACAGTAGTTGTATCTACTTTATCGCATACTCACATCTTCTTTAGCACAGTCAACGATGTATACGAATGGAACATATAAACCAATAAAACTCAAGAAGTTGAACGCTGCTGTTGCCAAGAATGTAGAATCCTTCATCAAACTCAAATCCAGTAGCTGCTTAAATTGCATACCTGAAATTGATAACAATACAGGGTGGGCCAAATCAGATGTAATTTGGGGTTTTCTTCCGAACTATTTCAGTACCAATGTAGCTATCGTACTTGATTTTTTGAAATATAACAACGTTGCTGATATTCAGATACAAGATTCATGACATCCTCACAGGATGGGGCAACAGGGCGTCAGAATCCGAAAGCTAGATACATGATCAAAATGGAATTCAGAGAAGAATGTCCCTTGTATAAATGTCCTGATAGCTATTTGTAATCATCTTCGAATTATCAAATTGGAGAATTTCTAATTATCGATTTCCACATATCCCGATGTGCCAAAGAAATACAGGGTGTCCCTAAATGTCTGTACATAATCTTAGCACATGGTTCCGAGGTCAAAATAAGCCGATTTGAAGAAACCCACCTCGGGCCAAAATTACTCCGTTTCTGAGATAAAGGTATGTGTGCTCCAAAAAAGTATGTTGAAAAATCCATTTTTGCACTGTTCATTCACTAATCAAATTCATGAAGTTAACAGCGAACATTATTCATTCAAAATAAGTCGAACGCAAAAACGGCTTTCTTCAGCAAATTTTCACGAGTGTGCCTTTTCTACTAACAAAGGTTCAATGAATCATCTTTTCGAAAGAAAGGAGTGTAAAACTACACAAAGAAAAAAGTTATGGCCATTCTAGACCATAAGAAGTGCTTTGGTAAGCGCCCTCTGATGGCCACAGTGAAAACGTGTCCAAATTCGAGTTACATCGAGTGCATCCCAAATAGTCACTAGCTACCAATTTCAGAAGTGATACGTTCAAAAATGTTCATAGATTTCGAAAAATTCGATCTTTATTCTTCAACTTTACCACTCTGTGTCTTGGAAATGAAGCAATTTCGGACTGAGGTAAGTGGCTCTGAATTCGGCTCTTTTTGACCTCAGGAATATATGTTGAGATTTTGTACAGATCTTTCAGCAACACCCTGTATAATGGATTCAGTTATTGACGTAAAATTCATTTCAAATGCTATCTAGCTTGACATTTCCAGAATTCCTGAAAATTCATGCATATCATAATCTTATATGCTACATGGTCCAAAAATATACATCCTATTTCAAAAACTTCATTCATTGTTCATTCTCCCCCTTCATTATCAGGGCATGGAAATAGATCGAAGATATTATACATCCAACTGTCAACTTGCAATATGATTATTTCTTCTTTCATTTCGTGATCGCGACAAGAGTGATTCTTACAGTATTCATCTGCTGATGCCAATATCTCGGAAAAAAATATAGGCAGAACTCCAAGTTTTTCTAGATATAGCCAATAATAATAGAGGATCGTGAATACTTGAGATGAAAGATAAGGTTTTATTGATTGTGCTCTGAAAAATTTCGATCCAATGATTATCATCCGGTATTTCTGATATGTCACGTTCTACAATCTCGAACTCTACATTGATTCCTCTCATGCATGAAAATAATTCCTACTAAAAACAATCATATGAAAAAACACGTGAGTCAGGAGCAGAGAGTTTCTATTGGAATGACGATTGAGCGTATATAAAAGAAGAGATGATGCCAATATCCAGTGGATCAATTTGCTTGTAGAATTTTGACCAGCATCTGGTTGTTCTCGCATATGCCTGATGGTAAACATCAATACACCTCTCATCATATGCATTCAATATATTCTCTTGGAAGAGCTTCGTTCGAACTGAACGTAAACGACCAGGCCTGACAGGATTCCTGTTAATGCATATTTTACAGGAAACCTAACTTTTCCTTTAGCTTGACTGTCTATTGTCGCGTCTGATTTCCTCCATGAATTTTTCAGTACTCTTCACGGGGTTTCTATAAGAGATACATCGTAGTGTAGATTGAAATATTTTCACCATTTGCCACGTCAAATATACTGGAGCGTTTGAACCAGTGATATCGAAACTTCATGAGGAAAAGGCAATCAATCAAACAATTTCAATGGCTCTCACGATGCTTCAAGCATTTGAAGAAACCCTGTATTTTTTCTCGGTTACCACTATTCTACGATAATCAGCAGGTCAAAGATACAGTGCAGGTGAACCGTATATTGATGAGTTCAATTTACTTTTAGAAAGTAAAGCGGTTCCAGATTCGGACCAATCTGAAACGTGCAAGAGTTGCGCTTTCTTGGTGAAAATCGGTATACTTTCAGTAACATACCATTTCGTGAAAATTTATGACGAAACTACGATGGTCTACAGTACCTCGTACTAGCTTGATCCGCTGAATTCTATGTAATTCACACTTTTTTTTTCAGAATTAACTCAAATTACCTAGTATAGGATGTGCATTCCATTCGTGAATTCTATTCTCTAAACGTTAGTGTGAGTCAACATTACAAATGAACCTGTAGGTACATATGTACCAGGCAATAT